TTGATTGGCTTAGTAACATTTTCGTTAGTCCATCAAGAGTACGTAAACTTCCTACAGTAAAGAACTGAGTACTGTACTAATGTCTCATGCAGTAATATAAACTTTCTACTTACCTCACTCGCTTGGTGTTTGTCAAAAAATATTGGTATTTGGTAAAGAGCTTGCGCTTAATTGATAAGAGCTTATTTACGTATTGATTCTGATATTATAGATATAGCTTATGCTAATTTAAAATTTACACTTTTCATTAGAAAAAGGGATTGTGGTGCCATACAGACTTACTGTAGAATACCAAGTTAATCAATTTTGTATATGTGATTGGTTTGGCAATTCTGATGAAAGTTTTAATTCGTTATACAATACCCATAGGTCTTCTTATCAATGGCAGAAGCCTTTTTCTTTGATTTTTTAAGACTCTAACTCGGATTGTTTGCTGTGCTAGAACCCTAACTAATTTCATTGATTATCTATTGTCCTTTACCACCTAATGTGTCATTTTTCCTATCTCTTATATTCATTCGTTGTCATTTTGCGTTCCAGCTTTGGTTGACTTTTCTGATGAAGAAGGTTACGGCAAGTACTTGGATCTTCACGAACCTTATGATAAATATATTAACATCAAGGGAATCGAGGTAATTCAACTACGTTAATGTCAGACTGAAGAGTGAAGGCGATCATCACTTCAGGGATCGAAAGATCTCAGTTCGGTGAACTTCATTTGAATTTTGTCAAAGTTGGTTTCGGAGCAGTCACCACTACACATAGTTGAGACTACAGACTTAAGTGTTTGACGTTCGTAGCGAAGAAAGCATTGCCATGCATCGCATGCCTGTCTTACTTTGTCAAAGTTGGTTTCGGAGCAGTCACCACTACATATAGTTGAGACTACAGACTTAAGTGTTTGACGTTCGTAGCGAAGAAAGCATTGCCATGCATCTCATGACTGTCTTACTTTAGTTCTTTCGTGGAAATCTTCGTATGCTATATTGGCCAAACGCAAATAAAATTGACATGTTGATTTGATGAAATGAACAACCTAATTAGGAACTTTGGCGTTCGAGAACTTTCACTATTTTCTTTTGTGTTGTCTAGAGAATAGACTATCTTGCGTATTTGGAAACATTCGACCGCTTGTTCGACATTCCCAAAGAGAAGAAAACACACGAATACAAAAGGTGAAACTGAAATTTTGTTTCCATAGAAGCTAAGGCGATAGTCTAAATTCACCACAACATGGTTGCTATGAGTTCGCGTTTGCTATAAAGACTACTTCCGGGTACTTTTTCTTGATAGAGTTCAACATATAACTCAGATTTTTCTAGTCAAGTTGCAAATTATATAAAGATTCCGAGTTTATTTTGTCGTAATTTTCTGTCAATGCCCATTCCTTGAACAAGCACTACATATCTTATCTATATTTAATTTTCGCTTTATCACTTTAAGGTCTCCTTTACGCGAGTTTTGCTTCGATGCAGTAACTTTGTATTAAATAAGGTTTTCCTAAATCCGTCAGTCTGATTGGGTCCTCGATCACTTATTTAATTATGCCCACTGGATTGCGCTGATCCTCTTTTCCTAACTTTAGATACATCATCGTTCTCCTTGATTACCTTTACTACTATTGTCAACGTGTCCAACCGCTGGTCGATCTTGATAAGGTAAGCCGACATCATTGGTTTCACGTGCCTTTGACGTAGAAACTTTCATTGTTTTTAATAAAGGATCTTCTAAAACTGAAATGGACTTTCTTCGCAACATTTCTTTTTCGCATGCTTACTTTCAAAACGATTGAAGCTTTTTTTGATGAGTAAAGTAGATAAGCAGTTGTCCACCGTCCATGTATTCTCCCAACTAATGTATTCCTGCTAATGTTAAACAAATTGGCCGTACATCATGTATGTGATTAACTTCATTAGCAATCAAAACTTTGTCATAAAACACAGGCGAGTTTGTTGCGTAACAACGAAAATACACGTGATTTTTATCTTTTGTAATGGGCTGATCGCATGAGCCCGGTAGCCGGGATTCAGCCAAGCGTTAAATGATTTTGGCAAATGAACACGATTCAATACTTACCATCAGATAAATCTTCTCAAGCAATTTCGCAATATTCTGTATTAATGACTTCTCAAAACATTTAAAATTGAAACAATCAATTTGCCCTGATTTCAAATTTTGAGAATTACAACTGGAGTGACGTGTAGTGGCTTCGCAAACGTAATTTTTAACCTTGAAGTTTTGGCTCCTTTCAATCGCTTGAAATCATCGGGCTAGCTCGCTATCCGGGCCAGCCATTGAAATAAAATACATGGAACACTGCCTTAATAGAAAAGTCTAATAAAATCTTGAAGCCAAATTTTACACCCAGACACGCGAGATTACACCCAGACGCGCGTGTGTAGTTAATCAATTTCCAGAATCTCGAAACACTACACACGCATGTCTGAGTGTAATGTCGCGTGTGTGGGTGTAATATTTAGCTTCAATTATTTGCTTCAGATAGCGTTTCATGTATTTTAGTTCAATGGAGCCAGCTCGCCTCCATATAATCAGGCCCTAAATCAGAAAACGACCATAAGTTAGCTACGTAATTTACATATCACAAAAAATCCAACAGTTCCAGACGTTTCGTTTTAGGAAATGGAGGAAACCCAAGAAGAATTTGATAGAAACTGGGCGCAAGGATGATTTCCAGGATGGCCCGTGAGTGAAGGGGGATATTTAGGCCGTGCATCGAAGATTTGCTTTGTATCGCGCGTGTATGTATGATTTGTTTTTGGTTTGATTATTTATAGAAAGATACCGGAAGTGCTTTGGCGCAATCTGGGGCACATCTTGATCTGTGTGGTTTCTCATCTGCTGAGGTTAGTAAATGTATGACACTAGCAAAAGACATGTGAGGGTACGCATGCATGATATAACAATAAACAGTACTAGTATGGATACGCATTATATAAGGATAAGCACTATACTAGTAAGGGTACGCATGTTATAACGATAAACACAATACTAGTAAGGGTACGCATGATATAAGGATGAACACAATACTAGTAAGGGTACGCATGATATAAGGATGAACACAATACTAGTAAGGGTACGCATGATATAGGGATGAACACAATACTAGTAAGGGTACGCATGATATAAGGATGAACACAATACTAGTAAGGGTACGCATGATATAAGGATGAACACAATACTAGTAAGGGTACGCATGATATAAGGATGAACACAATACTAGTAATGGTACGCATGATATAAGGATGAACACAATACTAGTAAGGGTACGCATGATATAAGGATGAACACAATACTAGTAAGGGTACGTATGATATAAGGATGAACACAATATCACGGTCACGTCAATTCATGGAAATATAAGCATCGTCAGCACACAGATAACGGAAACAATTCAACCTGCAACTAGACACGACTTTTGATCATCATTTATATGTTCTGTAATCAAAGGGTTCAAGCTCAAAAATTTGCGCACTGCTTCATCCCGCGGCAAGTGTGATTGCGCGCGCACGATCTTTCGTCGTCTTAGCATTTCTCTAAGTCGTTGTTCACCACGTATTGTTTTAAGACTTTTCACATTGTTGTCAATCGTCAAAAGGGATGAACATTAAACGCTCATCCTCATGAACAACGAGGGAAGGTCATGAAAACAGAACATTGTTAATGGGCCTTAATAAACCGCTCTTCCTGTAGTGTTGTTTTTTTACGAAACATTTATTTACCGTCAATAGTGTTGTTCCCAAGTCTGATATTTTCGAGCGTGACGAATTGCTTTCCCGGATGACGTTTTAGCTTATGCTAATTTAAAATTTACACTTTTCATTAGAAAAAGCGATTGTCGTGCCATACAGACTTACTGTAGAATACCAAGTTAATCAATTTTGTATATGTCATTGGTTTGGCAATTCTGATGAAAGTTTTAATTCGTTATGACAATACCCATAGGTCTTCTTATCAATGGCAGAAGCCTTTTCCTTTATTTTTTAAGACTCTAATTCGGATCGTTTCCTGTGCTAGAGCCCTACGATCTATCTATCTATTGATTATCTATTGTCCTTTACCACCTAATGTGTCATTTTTCCTATCTCTTATATTCATTCGTTGTCATTTTGCGTTCCAGCTTTGGTTGACTTTTCTGATGAAGAAGGTTACGGCAAGTACTTGGATCTTCACGAACCTTATGATAAATATATGAACATCAAGGGAATCGAGGTAATTCAACTAGGTCGCATGCGTTTAGTTATGAAATTCCCGCCGCTGTTTTAAACCAATCAGTAATCAAAATGAATATTTACGAAAAGCAGCGTCAGCGATATGAATGGAACAATGAAAAATGACAAAACCATGGACAAAACTGACCAAAATTTGAAAATTTTGACATTAAACATTGACAAAATAACAAATCATGACAACATTATTATATTTAAAATAACTTTTTCTACAATACATAGAGCAAAAAAGAAATAATTACTGGATCAAAATTCTTTTTGGATATCTATAGTTAAATCATTGCTTTCCTAAACATCAGTCTTTTGTGCTTATTTATAAATAGCCATAAACCAAAGATGCATACATGACTATATCTATTCATGTTAAATTTACCATTAACTTAACTATATCATTTATTATATAATATGAAGAAATGAAATAAGAAACAGAAATTATCTTTTACGCACAAATTAAAAAGGTGTGCATTGACTAACTATTTCACTAATTTGAAAAACTGGAGCTTTTACAAGTTACATAATAGATTAAGATAAAATTGAACTTTATATAAATTTTGGCACGTGTACCTGATGTGATTCTAAAAGAAAAATATCACACAATCTTAAACGTGGAACAAAATATATCAATTTGTTCAATGTACACATCTCAGAGGAATTTAACAAAATCATAAAACACAAATCATCGTTTTCTATAATCAAATTAAAAGCAGCCAATATAGAAATACAGATCGAAGGACAAAATGTAAATCTATCTAATGGCTGCTTGTCATTTATGTCTTCCACCGTGACGTCTCTTCGATGGAGTTTTCTTTTCAAGTTTATGAGCAAAACTTTCACGACAAATGGGACAGCGTGTTCTAAAGGACAGAAAAAATATTTCTCATAATCATAAAATTGACTGTTGGACAATGTCAGGAGATGACGTTCGGTATAACGTCAGTAGCGCATAAATGACGTTTGGTTTAACGTCAGTAATACATAGATGACGTTGGGTATAAAGTCAGTAATACATAAAGTTGGATTCATTTTTGGATTTTCGTTCAACTTACATTACTCTTCGAATCATTTCATTGGCGCATTCTTAATGAACTTTATGAGAACATGGTAATATTTGACAACCTGTGAAAGCATCCTACAATAAAATATTGAAAATATTTTAAAGATTTGGATATGAATTTGACTAAACATTACAAAATGAAACACGAGCAGCAACTATAATGAATATTTACCATTTGTAGCGGGTAGAGATAAAATGAGACGGATTGTGTCGTAAGCAAAAGCAGTTTTACATGTTTGAAAATGTAGATCGTCTAGGTTGGTATAGTCCTGAAAAGGACTGTTTTTTGTTGTTGTTGACTGACGATTCGACGACCTTAGAGGTAGTCATCTTCAGAGTCAAAAAAAGTCAAAAGCAGTTTTAGTTTCGAGAAAAGAATTATTGAATAATGATAGTGTGAAGTATTGTGAGAAAATAATAAAGTTGATAGTAAAAAAGTCGAAAAAAAGGCATCCGTTATCCGTTATGGTGACAGTTGACTTGAAGAGAGATATATCATTTAAAGGTCGATAAAATTTACCTAACAATGGTGAAAGTGCCATACACACATAACAGCAACTCGTGTATATAACACTGAAAAGTCAAGAATAATTTGTTTTATTCTATTCATTGTGCCTAAATAAATCAGCAGGAAAATTAAAGTAAATGTTTACCTCTAAACATATACAACATTCATCATGTGCGGAGTTTTCTCTACATTTATGATTACCACGCAGTTGTAAAGTTTACAAACATCGCAATGAAAAGAACGATCTCCGTGAACTCTAATGAAATACAAACGTGTCAAAAATCAGTTTAGTGCTTAATATTTATGATTATCTAACAAATGAGGTCAATCGGTTATAATTGGAGAACGTGTTTTTATTTGGGTACATTTGAGTACCTGCAAATTCCACATTTCTCGCAATGATAAGGATGGTCGTCTTTGCCAGTAAGGTGTTTACTTAAAGCGCAGAAATATTCGGCAAATTTAACACCACAATTCGTGCACTTTTCACCAAACTAGCGAATTTCAAATGAGAATAGGAAAAATTAAATGAAATGTTTTTACGACCATAACAAACAAATTTCATTTAACTATTCTCGTATGTTTAGAGTAGTTTTTTGTGTTATTTTACAGCATGAAAATATATTACCTTTTGTACGTTGCTACAATAAGCACATGTCACATCTACTGCATCACGTGATTTAAGCTTCTTGTTGCCACACGCACTTTGATTGTTATGACAACAATGACAGGGATAAAACTGCTCACAACAATCAAATTTAACAAAACAATGTCTTTATAGTGACTACATAACCAGTTACCATCACGAGACGTGAACGCCACTTCAGAGTTCTGGGAATTATTATTGAACTTTGAGTGTTTCCTACCATTACATTCTTTAATGACGTATCTGTTGAAAGTTAATTATACACAAAATTTTGCATTAGTAACGTTGGAAAATAAAATCAATGAACTACATTGTTTTCAAACATTTTTTCTCAAAGTTTCTTCTCACATTCAAAATCATTGAAATGAATATAACTAAAACACAAACTCCGACGAGAAGGACATCTTGGTTAGGAATATTATTTTGTTTTTTAAAATGTATTAATTTTATTTCATTGCGTTGTTGCGATTTTTGGGTCGAAATTTTCGTGTGTTTGTCGCCCTATTTCTTCGGCGTCTATATCGTATGCTTTTCACATGCACTATGGGGAAAAAGAAATGAAAAAACAAAAAAAAGTAGAAATTGCAACATTTAACTTTCTCGTAGGAACAAGGTTTCAAGATATATTCAGTTTAATGATCAAGATATATTGACCAAATGATCACAGCCATCGAGAGCTAAAACATAGTGTTGACGTTGTTTATCGAACGTAAGCCGCTGCTCGATTGCGGCTTCGCTCGCATGTATACAATGGCTGCAGCTTTACAGCAAAATTTCATGATTTTGTGGTTTCATATCTCCGGTATAATTTTGATTGGAGCTTTCAAACTTTGGAATATGGTTTGTAAAAATAAAATCTTTCATTTGATAAAAAGTTTTTTTGGGGTCTGACTTCCCCTTTAATAAAGTCCAAGTAAAATGTAAGTTTAAAATGAAGAATTCTGTCGAAAATTTTGGAAGCAAACCTAAACTGTCACCTTTGCACTTATGTATCAACATAGGAGAAGCCTGTTTTAGACCTAAATCTTTTCAGTTTTAAGAACTCATGGTTAAATGACTTAAATCGTGCGCAACTTCACTTTTCGAAGGATGGCAACGCATCTTTCCATAATTTTTTCCTTAAACACTAAAACTTGGTAAGAAATTGATCATTACCACTAAAGAATTTTTTGTTAATAAGCTTTTAAAGAGGCACATCATTATGCATAGGCCTAAGATAAATGTCAAAATTGTAGAACAAACATTTAGCAGCTTACAGCTATGTTACAGATGCCATAAATTACATGCCTTTCTGATTAACCTGCTTTAAGTGATGCAAGAGCAAAAATAATGTTTTAAAAGTATTGCAATCAGGCTATTAGACTCACTAAACACAAGAATTACTTTGATTCATTGTTTTGACCACTCTTTCTACAAGGTCAGTCCACATAGGATAAGTGAAGTCCATTCTTTACTTTGGAAGAGTAGAATTCTGAAATTTCTCTTTTTAAATATAGAAGGACAAAACATTTTTTTGGTTTTGTAGAAGCTGCACTAAACATTAAAGTGCTTGCTCACTTACTTCTAGCAGAGGATCTTGTCTCTATTACATACCAATGTCCCGAAACCATCTTTAGTTCATTGTAAATGAACAATGAACATATGACATTGTGGATATATATTTAGTACGCAGATATACATTTATGGATAAATTGATATTGTTTAAAAATGAAAACATTAAACAAAATGGAAACATTAAACAAAATAAAAACATTAAACATTTAACTATGCTCTTATATTCGAATCCTCTAGTAAAATAATATTCAATCACAGTTCGCTCGTTTTCTACATTGTTTGTATCAGAATCATGCGAAGGAATGTCAACCATATTGGCAATATTTTGTAACTTTAATACAAATTTTCTCGCAGTTTCTCTTTTGTTGCTGAAACGTTTCTATATTTTTTGTATATATTCACAGTTCACACTATAAATATATGTTTGCGGAGTAAAAATATGTGTCTGCTTGTCTGCTTGCCATAAATATATATCCGCACTGAAAATCTGATATATATCTGCGCACTACAAATATATATCTGCGCACTGAAAATATATATCTGCGTATTTTATAAATATATCTGCTCAATGAATATATATTTACTGCTCCACTAATATATATCATGAATAATAAAACATTTCATGCAAAATACTTTGATTTCTATTCCTAACTTATATATCCGCATTGCCGTTGTGGGCCACCGTAGATTTTGTTTGTGTTTGATGGAGTTGAACCACTTGATGGCAGATGACGAGTTTTTCCATTGGTTCAGCGAAGTGGCTTTTATGATATTGTTGTTTATTCTGTCAAGTATTTTTTTGCTAATTTTTCCAATTTCAGATTTCGTCGGGTTGATTAGTCGGCACGTGGGTTTATTTGCGAAGTTAACAAAAAAGTCATTAACTTCCTCGACATTACGTTCGATCTAAAGAATTCTTCCCATCGACCTTACACTAAGCCCAACACCTCTTTGCAATACATCCACCACGAAAGCAACCATCCTCCAAGCATTAAAAAGAACATACCCGATACCATTAACAAACGCCTTTCATCCTTATCATCCGACAGAGCATCATTCGACCAAGCAATCCCTCCATACCAAAAAGCACTTGACGAAAATGGATATCATTACACACTGAAATATGACCCAAACGCTACTACGAAACGGAAAACAGACTTAGAAATAACATACTCTGGTACAACCCACCATACAGCAAGAACGTCAGCACAAACATCGGCTACAAATTCATTTCACTAATTGACAAGCACTTTCCCATAGACCACAAACTCAGAAAACTATTTAACCGCAACACAATTAAATTAAGTTACAGCTGCATGAACAATATGGAACATATTATTAATAACCATAACAAACGCATATTGAGAGAACCTGACAATACTAATGACACCATCAATGACAAAATACACAAACAAAACATGCAACTGCCGTCAAAACAAAACTGCCCACTTAACGGAAACTGCCTACAATCATCTGTCATCTACCAAGCAACTGTTAAACGTTTAGACAATAACACAACTGAGACCTACATCGGACTTACAGAAAACGAATTTAAGACTCGACACAGAAACCATACTGCCTCTTTTCGCCACAAAAAACTAAGAAACTCCACCGAACTCAGCAAACACATATGGACACTAAAAGACAACAACATCGCTCACAATATCTCATGGAACATCATTACTCACAGCAAACCGTACAACAGCGCCAACAAAAGATGCAACCTATGCCTGAAAGAAAAACTCTTCATCACCTACCAACCACAACTATCATCACTCAACAAACGTAACGAACTTATCTCCTCTTGTCGCCATAGACACAAAGCACTTTTATGTAATTTGTAATCGTACACTCAATATATTATGTAATTCTATCTCAATTTTTAACCTAACTTCCTCTTGTATATATATCTAGCACATGCTTTGTATCCATTTAATATTATCCCTGAAGAGTGAGAAATCACGAAACAGGCTTGTCGGGATGAAATTGTAGTTTTGTGTACCGTAAATGCTCGAATAAGCGCCCAGCTTCCAATAAGCGCCCGCTTCGAATTAGCGCCCCCTAGGACTCAAATTTTGAAATAAGCGCCCCTTCCAATAAGCGCCCCCCCCCTCGAGAAAAGACGGGTTTTGCTAAGCGTCCTCTCAAATAAGCGTCCTCTCAAATAAGCGCCCCCAACCCCCCCACCCTTCCCCCGATAAAAGATGAACTTCGGTACTCAGTTCGATACACAGTATTTTTAATTTTTTACATCGGTAACGGACATTCGTTAGAACTCAAAATCAATGTTCTGCAGAGGTTTGCTTCTCATTTGCTTGATTTCAATATCCATGTGGGCACATAGGAGCTTTACTTTATCAAGTTCCTCGTTAAACTTTGCTCCCAGTCGCCGGCTTCGTGTTACTGCTTTAAAAGTTCCTGGAACAACTAGGCCGTTTTCAAGTTTTCTTTTTCCAGTTACTTTTACCTCCACCGCATTATCCTTATGAGCTCGTAAAAATGTAAACACGAGGAACGAAAGTTCAATGGGCGCATGTCCAACCAGCTTGCCACTGTCTTGAATAAATGTTCCAATCGCATATTCATCGTGCTCTTTAGCCTCCTTTCGATCGTCTTTCCGACACACTAGCCGTTCTCCAAGCTGTGGTGACCATTCAGCTTTATAAACATGGTGTCCTCTTATCACAGACGCAAATTCTATTTCGTAAACCATTTGCCAAGTAAAGGTATAGCTTGAACGCGCCATGTTGTAAACAGCAGATGAATGTCACCCACGTGTTTGGTAGCACGTGATACAATGTGATCTTCTCATGGGAGGTCTTTTCCGGCCTTCTCGCATTACAGCATGCTTACCTTTGACATCATGGACGAAAGTATAACTCTAGCATCTACATCGCACGCAGGATTGAAGAACTCTTCTTATTCTAACGAATTTAAACTTAAGGCTGTTCAATTTGCCGAAGAGTGTAACAGTAACCGAAAAGCCGCAGCAAAGTTTGGTGTCGACCGCAAGAGAGTAAGAGAATGGCGACAAAGAAAAGCAAATTGGAAGATACTAGCAGCAAGAGAAAGCGGCTTGAAGGAGGCGGACGAAAGCCATTCGATGAAGACCTAGAAGAAGCATTATTACAGTGGGTACATGAGCGCCGTTCCAATGGCCTTCGTGTTTCCAGAAAATGATCGCAAGCAAAGCAAAATTTTCGATAACGAGAAATGCAAAGAGAAGGAAATGCCACCATCGTTTCTTGCCAGTTCCGGTTGGTTACAGCGGTTCATGTCAAGACATGGTTTGGCAATCAGACGCAAAACCACTGAATCACAAAAGGCCCCCGAGAAACTGATAGACAAACTCATAGCGTATGTTTTGCAGATTCGCCGGCAATGTAAAAAAATCGCTTACCAAGACAGGGATATCATTGCAATGGATGAGACAGCAGTATGGCAAGATATGGTATCCAATACCACGGTCGACAACATTGGCGAAAGCACAATTCGATTGAAAACAACTGGCCATGAAAAAACGAAGGTTTCAGTGTGTTTGACTGCAAAGGGAGACGGTACCAAACTAAAG